CCTCTTCCACCTCCACCACCGCCACCACCTCCTCCCCATCCCCATGAGTAGCCTCCACCACCTCCGCCACGACCGCTTCCTCCTCTTCCTTGATGCTTGTTTTTGTTGTTGATAACAACTTGATTAGTGTAAGAAGGAGCAGTCTCGTTTCTTACTTGTCCATTTCCCCCGGAAGGAATTTCAGCAACAGCTGATGAAGAAGAAGTAGCATTGCCTTGAGACGTAGTAGTATTATTATCAGCTTTCAAACCAACAATGGCCATCGAAATAAACAAGATGACCCATAAACTTCTCACTAGCATTACTGTATCCATGTGTTTAGAACGTACGGTCGCTACAACTACGATGCACGGTAATTCGTACTTATATATTACTGCTCATGCGATTGTGTATCCATATATATATATATATATATATATGAGTCGTGCTATTGACAACTAGAGGCTGCCCCCACTCTCTTAATTTGAACTTGAAGAGGAGAGGTAGCAACAGAAAGTGGACATGCCTTACGTCTCACTTCTGTCCCCACCACCTACCTCTCTATATTTTTCAATTTGGCAATCACGGACACAGCCACAGCCTGGACAATATTAGCTTAATATTGCTTGCAATAGTCTGCCCCATCCGCACATCATGCATGCTCCAAGGCGCCCGCCTATACAGCAGGCAGAAGGAGAGCGTGCCGTATAGGCTATAGAGATATTCTTTAGGACCAAACCAGCGGTTTAGTTCTTGAGTCGATCGCTTTGGGTTTGAGTTGAGCTTAAATTGGTACTCATTTGTCATACAAGTCAAGCAATGTGCAATAATACCAGGCCACCAATACAATTTTATTCGGTATTAGTTAAAACTTAATTAAGTTGCCCTGACTTATTAAAATCTCTAATACCAAATAATACTGCTCTCCCCTGCCCATGCGCGGGAGTAGTATACTTATTGTCTTTTGCTTGCCCTTTAAGCCTGGAATTTTGGACAACCTATGTAACACTAGCAAGCAAGCAAGCGTAAAGTTATGGTGGGGTCACATCACATTTGTGGTAAAAATACTATGGCATTGGCAATATATTTGAGATGCATATATGTATATATAGTACAGGAGGACAACTAACTGCCATCATCATGCTTCCATTCCAACTCCTCCATCTTAACTACTTTGAATCATAATTAAAGAGTACAAATGAAAGACACAGATTTTGGTCCCACTAAGCTCCAAAATAAGAGACCAAAAATGCTTTAATAATATAATAGTGCACAAACACTTTGGATAGAGTGCCGTCTGGAAGACAAAAGATGAACAAAGGTTCAAGAAACAATTTAGGCATTGCTTGCTATAAGTGAACCCTTTTTTCTCAAGTGTCCAGCTTTTCGGACCAAAACGATCACTTTAACCAAGGAAGGAACCGACTGCTCGCTGGGCCACTACTGAGGAGGAGGGCTCGAGTACTGAGGCGAAGACATAAAACTAACGCATATATATATATATATATATATATGAGTCGTGCTATTGACAACTAGAGGCTGCCCCCACTCTCTTAATTTGAACTTGAAGAGGAGAGGTAGCAACAGAAAGTGGACATGCCTTACGTCTCACTTCTGTCCCCACCACCTACCTCTCTATATTTTTCAATTTGGCAATCACGGACACAGCCACAGCCTGGACAATATTAGCTTAATATTGCTTGCAATAGTCTGCCCCATCCGCACATCATGCATGCTCCAAGGCGCCCGCCTATACAGCAGGCAGAAGGAGAGCGTGCCGTATAGGCTATAGAGATATTCTTTAGGACCAAACCAGCGGTTTAGTTCTTGAGTCGATCGCTTTGGGTTTGAGTTGAGCTTAAATTGGTACTCATTTGTCATACAAGTCAAGCAATGTGCAATAATACCAGGCCACCAATACAATTTTATTCGGTATTAGTTAAAACTTAATTAAGTTGCCCTGACTTATTAAAATCTCTAATACCAAATAATACTGCTCTCCCCTGCCCATGCGCGGGAGTAGTATACTTATTGTCTTTTGCTTGCCCTTTAAGCCTGGAATTTTGGACAACCTATGTAACACTAGCAAGCAAGCAAGCGTAAAGTTATGGTGGGGTCACATCACATTTGTGGTAAAAATACTATGGCATTGGCAATATATTTGAGATGCATATATGTATATATAGTACAGGAGGACAACTAACTGCCATCATCATGCTTCCATTCCAACTCCTCCATCTTAACTACTTTGAATCATAATTAAAGAGTACAAATGAAAGACACAGATTTTGGTCCCACTAAGCTCCAAAATAAGAGACCAAAAATGCTTTAATAATATAATAGTGCACAAACACTTTGGATAGAGTGCCGTCTGGAAGACAAAAGATGAACAAAGGTTCAAGAAACAATTTAGGCATTGCTTGCTATAAGTGAACCCTTTTTTCTCAAGTGTCCAGCTTTTCGGACCAAAACGATCACTTTAACCAAGGAAGGAACCGACTGCTCGCTGGGCCACTACTGAGGAGGAGGGCTCGAGTACTGAGGCGAAGACATAAAACTAACGAATTGATTGATGGTAAAATGTAATCATGTCTGAGGAGTTGGTGGAAAGGAGGCTTCGTGTCCAAGAGTCCTGTTCCTTCAACTAATTTGGCATCTATCTAACTCAACTGTCGTTCGTTATAGAAATCAATGTCATTAAATTAATTAATTCTAATAATAAAGATAATCTCAACTCAAGTAGCTTCAGCTTGTCTTTCTGTTTTTGCACTTGTTACGCTTCTTAGTTTGAGAAACACTACTAATTTACACAATTATTATCTTCCTGGGGTTGGAGTGTAGTTCTGAAAACAGGGTAGTAAGAGTCGAGTTCAAGCTGCTCCAAGATCTGTTTTGTCTTCCAAAGATAAGAAGAATGGCCTTCAACAAGTTGAGTCACATCAACCTGAAAATGCCAATTCGGAAAATAGACAACTTTAACACAATGCAAATATAAAAAGAGATTGGGAATTTAATTAGGGAACTTACATTCTCAATCCCAGGAACATCAACAGGTTGAATTCCACCTAAACCTTGAGAAAGTAAGCTGTACGAGGGAAACACCCTCAGTCCAATCAAATTTATATTCATGCTTTTTAAGATCAGTAGCACTCTGATTAATCTGATTTATAGTCATGTACCACCCTCAAAAATACATAATGCTAAAACTAAACAAAGGAAATATGGCCTGTACCTCGCACGAAAGGCAATTCCCAGTGTCCAGTCGCTTATAGAATAAGCATTCACAAATCTACCGGCCACCATCTGCGAGCCAGAGTAGGTTCTTGTAAAAACAGTAGCAAGAACTTGCATAGGATAACAATCATAATTGGGGGAAAAATAAAAACAGGTAACAGGAAATAGGTCTAGTGGTATTGTAAGAACGATACTACTGCAGCAGCACAACTTGCATAGGAATTTAGTAAACCAGTAATTATTATATATATTTTTTAAGTTCAACTACCTTTCTAGCGTCCGTCCAGTTTTCTTCTTCAATTGAAATTGGTGCTCCAAGCAGAACAACCCTTTCTACAAGACCAGCTGCAGAAATGAAGAAGCCAAATTCAATTTCTTTCTTTTTAATTACACTGCCACTCAACTTATCCACAATAGGATGAACCCATTGTGATGATTACCATTATCCCCTTCTGTTTCAGCCAAGCATTGGAGACATTTGAAAACTACTCTGGCCCCCAGCGAGAACCCTATGAGCGTCACAGGCCTGGACCATACATGGAGGATTTAAGGGAATGATACATATGAGTTTCAGGGCAAGATGGGAAAATGTCTTTTATAATGTGAGATTCTTCTACCTGTTTCCTTGCAGTCCCTTCAACAACACTTCAGCAAGCATCTTCCCAGCTTTGTCTGATCTGGCCAAGAAAATGGGGATGCTAAAAGTTCATAGATTTCCCACTGCAAGTAATGAACACTCAAAATAGCAGTTTCATGTACATGAAATAAGTGCCACCTCGAGAGCAAGTTATGAAAAGAAAACTGTCACAAATCAAACATTACCACAACGAAGACTTTTGCTAAGCAAAAGAATAAGGGGAGGAGAGTGCCAGGAAGAATTTGGCACTTTAAATGAATAACTTCATTCAGTATATCAGGATGCAATTTGTTGTATTGCATGTACTGATGAACTATGCATGACATAGTTGACTGTTGGCAGGTTAACGAAAATGAAATCTTGAATGGATTTGTTGCTCTCCTCTGCAGAGTTTTTATGTGGTAACTATTTGAAATAATCATGCTAGCAAAGACTAATAGGGTAGCTGACTGAGCAGATAGCCTAAAAATCAAATCTACTGCAGTCCAAACCAAATAAAATGATGCCAAGTGAGATGGTGGCATACATCCTTTATCTGAAACAAACATTAGCAATCAGCCACTATGCTTCTCATGTTTGGAACCTCTTAATATAAGAATAACATGTGAAATGGAAACTCGAAACCATCATCCATCCACATAAAGTCCTGTCCAAACAAATGAAAGATTACCTGTCCACTGCAACTGCCCATTTGCTATCTATAAGATCAGATGCTGTAACTAATGTTGCCGGCATAGCAAATGCTGCTAGAAGGGTGTTTAATACAGTCATCATGGCACCTTCTTTCATCAACTCTAAGGCAATTCCTGTGACAGTTTGCAATAGTGTTGGTCATGAAATCATAGATATGCAAATAGTTAGTCACAATAGGTGGCAATACTTATAAGGTTCAGGAAGTACTTGAAGTAAGCCAGTCTTGGATTGCAGTGCTCAATGCAATCAAATTCTTAGACTCCCACCAGAGGGCATACCTATAGATTCACTACATTGATATCAATTACTTAGCCAGTCATCATAGTTCAGATCCTATCTAAGGCTTTTAAAAGAAAGAAACTTTCAAGTGAAGAATCACAAATCAATTGAAGGAAGATTGCAATAATCTCGGTCATAAATATGCCAATAGTCGATCACAAGAAGTGACAGTTCATAAGGTTATGGAAGTACATGATGTAAGGCAGTCTTTAATTGCAGTGTTTTTGTATTGTAGATATATATTTGAAATCAATTTTTTATTGTACTACTGGAAATACAATTTGAATTTTTTTACCTTTCCAAGTTTTCATTTTGACCTTCCCAAGGCCTTATAAAATCTTCATCCTCAAAAACAAGTCCAGAAACCAATATTCCCACTGCTAGCCGCTGAAAAGGAGGTTTGCTGTAAATTGTAAGCATTTTCATTCATACAGAGAAAGGTCCTGCTCAGCATAAATTCTCAATCTCTCACTACATCATCATGCTAATAGAAATCCCACTGCCCTTCTGCCCCCCAAAAACAAATGGAAAGTATGGATTAATAAATTGTCTAAATGAGCTCACTCCTTGATCATAATTTCCAATTGTTCTGAACTCAAATTCTTCAATGCTGCCGGTCCTTCTAGCCATTTTGTTCCCCGTAAGTCCAGCTCCAGCAGCTGAGATTCCGGAAGAACAAGTAGCTGAGTATCACTCCATACTCTTTAAATTTGAAAGATAGAATCTATACAATGGTGGTTTTTTTTTTAATGTGCTTTGAGAACAACCACTTGCTTTAAAACTTGGATTTTAGCACAAAATTCAGTACATCCTCATGCCTTTTCCAGTATTCATGCTCATCTTTCTTAGTTATTAGCCAAGAAAAGGTTTTGCTTCCAATTATTTCATTAGGAAATGATTTCCCCAGTCTAACTAAACACAGAATATTAGAGGGAAAAAACCACTTTTGCACCTCCAAATGATGCAGCAACAGCAAGAGAGCCGGTAACAGACCCTGTGGCAGTTGCTGCAGCAGCGAAGCCACTTGCTCCAATTGCAGGGATAATACCACCTAATGCAGGAGCTAGAGCACCCAATCCTTGTGCAATTGCAGGAGCAGCTAGGCCTGTGGTAAAATGAAAGTAAACAACAAATCAAACACTACTAGTTTTATCATAAAATTGCATCACAGGAGAGACATCTGCTCTTTTGAAGTTGACAGAAATGATACCTCCAGTGATAGCCATCAAGGTTCCTCCAGTTAAAGCAGCTGCACCAATCATACCTCCCCTCTTCATTTCCTCCCATGAGATTTCTGAAGTTTTTGTTTTGTCTTCATTAGTAACTTCTTTTATTGAAGCCATATAAGAACAAGCAACCATCACCTCCATAACTTCCTGCAGAATAGAAGTTCCTCATAGATGGCTCTGCATGTTTTTTATTTTCTTATTTTCTTCTTCTTTTTACTTATTTATCAGTTTGATTATTTTTGAAGCATAGACGGTAGATAGATATACATCAAAAGGCAGATATGTAAGGCACAACTCATATACAAAAGAAAGCTTGCGAAAAAAAAAGAAAAAAATCAATATACAGACCATTTTTAGCCACTCAACCCCAAGCCATGCTGCCAGCAGCCGCAATGCCACACGGTGTCGAGCATCATAACCCTTCCGTACTTTGGAACATTTATTGCCATCTTCAGTATTATCTGCCACACAGGCTGAAAGAAGTGCAAAAAGAACAGTTACTTTCCTCTCGTAACTGATCAGGTTTCCCTCTTCCACAGGTTCCTCAAGGGGTTCAGATACATCTGGTACTTTTTCTTCAGTGGATGACTGAGAACTTGTCCTCTTTATAATCTCAAAAGGCTTCGCAGAAACCTCAGACACCGGTTTCGTCTCAGGAACTTCATATCTTTCGCGGCATTTAGCTTCATATTCAGAATCCACAGGGTTTTCTGCTGAATGAACAAGAGACTCTTCCTCACTAAGAGCCATGGCATCAACGGTTTTTGTCAAAGCGCATTCCTTGTCAGTTTTTTCAGAAGAAGGCCCATCAGTAGTTCCCTCTGATAGTAAGGTCATCAACTGAAATAAAACTAACAAAATTAATAAAGCAGAGGAACACACAAAAAGGGTGCAGCCAGAGAGAAAAATAATAAAAAAGGTGAGCTAAAAAGTAAATAAAATCAACCCAGAATAATGATGTGTCTGAATTTCATAAGAGGAAGAAAACACACCGCTCCTACATGATGCCTAACTTGTGACGAAGATCCAGCAGTTTCCTTTATCCCCTTCCAGGATTGTTCATCCACTCCTAAAAACCTGAAATTCAACCAAGAAAATCATGAAGCCCAACGCTACTGGCCCTAATTCAATCAAACAAAACAGAGCTAGCTGCCGAGGAAAATGCACGATTGATTAAAACAAAAGGATGAGTCTGAGTAATTAAATTGAAAAAGTACCGGAAAACGGGATAAATCAAACCAGAATTCTCGTGGATCCAAAGGTCGGAATTGTCCGAAACCGAGACGGTCTTGCCGATGCTCGCACCTTCGCTGATGGTCTCTTTTTCAAGAGAAGGTAAAGGAGGAGTTGATGGCCGAGCTTGGTGTATCTGAGACTGGTGAAGCGCCAGCGCGAACAGAGCTCCCGCTGCGTATTTATGCGTCGGAATGAGAATCGGTGCTTCCATATTTGCCGACGGTTTTACTTTCAAACTCGCAGAGCATCGGAAACGCACAAGATTCAAATTTGCAGACCAAAACGAGGGTTTCAATTTAACCGACCGATATATGCTCATTCAGTATAGTAATAATAGCAGAGAATTTAATTAATTGTGTTGAAATTACACAAAGAAAGATTATCCGCACAGGCAACAGGACCCCCTCCTTTCTTTATAGACAGTGACGAAAGATTATCCTATAATCCCATTAACTAATTCTCCCGCCTATTCCTCTTAACAACTAATTAACTACTGACATTTAACATTAACAAAATATTAACAATCTGCTGTCTGTGCTCTCTCTCTGATGTTCTCAGGGAAGGGAGGAAGACTGAGAGCCTAAATCCTCTGACCTTTTCAACACTCCAATAAGACACCGAATTTGCCGTAACGGTCTTCTTTTTTGGCGGGACACCCGGAGATTGAGACTCCTGCGACCGACACGTGGCATTAATCAGTAATTTTGTCTGGGGCTTTTTTTGAATTGTGCCTTTGGGCCGGTTCAAAATTAGGCCCAAATAAATGGTGATTTGGAATTTGGGCCATTTGTGTACGACCCAAGGCCGTTGAGGGTTTATACAGAACAGAAGCATCGATAGGGTTTTATCACACCAGTTTCAGTCTCAGGGCACTTCACATCTTCGGCGAAGAAACAAAATGGGCAGAAAGAAGAAATTCATCGACAAGAAAAAGTCGGCGACCTTCCAATTACTCGCCCGAGACTCGTCCGATCCCAACTACGATGACTCACCCGGCAGCGACCGAGTCTTTATCCGAGTTGACAACAGCAGCTACCCCATTGATGCCTTATTCCCTGAAGATAATCCTCACGACGCCTCCGGTGCCGGCGGATACGACGACGATCCCAATTCGATATTCGCTGATGCACCTGAGGATGACGGCGGTGGGCAGGACTATGGTCAAGTTTCCGGGTACTCGGTGGCTCCATCAGCTCCTCAGCCATTGCCGGACCACGTTAGGAGGGAGATTCTGGAGCTAGGGTTTCCTGACGACGGTTACAACTACTTGCTACATATGAGGGAGATTAGGAGTACTTCTACAGTTTATCACAATTCCAAGGCTAAGCTCGATCAGCTTCCTCATGATGTAAAGGTTGGTGACGTATCGATTGCTTATGTTCTGTTTAGCTTGTGAGAAAGTTAAGGAAAAGGAAAATGAAAGAGAAAGAGAAAAAAATATATAAATTTTATGTCTGTTTCGTTTTGCAGCTATACCAAGTCAAGTGGTGGATTATTATTAATTTTTAATACTTAAAAAGAGTGTGTTGTGGGTTTCAGGCATATGATGCTTCAAGAGTGCGCATTTCTGAAAATGAGGCTCCGAATGAGAAGGTGATTTACAGTGTGGCTTCTAAGACGGTTAATGTAAGGGTTCAGAAAGCGGCTGATCCAGAAGTATCTGCATTGCTTGATGATAGTGATCTTTCACGGTTTGGTTCTGATATTGAGGACTTGGAAGAAGATTTCGTTGTTCAGGCTAACCTTGCCGCAGAAAAGGAGGGGGAGGAGGAGGAGGAGGATGTGTGTGTAGATAATGGGCCAAATATTGTTGAGCAATCTGAGAACAAAAATGTGAGAAATGAAACAAACGGAGTTGGAACAAATAGCGTTGAGGGAGCAAAGGATAACTCTGTGGCTGAAAAGCCACGAGTTCATCGCCTCTTGGACGAGCAATTTGATTTAGTGAGTTATTTTTCTTGCTATATTTAGTTATGTTCTGTAAACTTTATAGTTTTAGTCTCATGATGTAATTTTTGTTCCTTCAATTCTTCTTTTGTATCTCTGTTATCTCATACCTTTTTGTTAGTGTTATATTTATTAATATAAAAAAACAGCTTGTGAGTCAGGAATATGCCAGTGATGACGAAAATGATGATGATTATGGCTATGTAGCTGAAGAAGATGAGACCCTTGCAGAGAAGCTCAAACATGCCACCCTGAATGGCCATGCGAGGGATGACTTAGAACTGGACGGCGGTTATAAGGCCCCTGCAGATTTGCTGCGTGATAATGAGACAGTAAAAACGAAAGAGCTAGTGGACTCTGCTAGTGAGGTTATTCGGCGCTGTGCCGAGTATGCTGAGAAATATGAGAATGAAGATAAAGATGCAGACTTGGTCATTGTGGAGGAATCTAGTGATGAATCAGAAGTGTGGGACTGTGAGACCATTGTTTCTACATATTCAAATCTTGATAATCACCCTGGCAAAATCGAAGCTCCAGGAGTAGCTAGAAGGAAGAAGCTTTCTGAAACTGTTTCTGGAGCCTTTGCCTCGTAATAAAAAACCTGCTACAGAGAAGGTGAAAGATATAGGTGCCTTGAAATCTGAGCAGCAGAAAAGGAAGCAACATGGTATGGAGTCAAAGGAGGAGAAGAAAGAGCGAAAGGTATACATGCGTTAGTCTGCTATTCTTTTTGCTTATCTTGAGGATGCCATTTGATCCAGCGTGGATTACCAATCTTTTATAACTAATGAAAGATTTACATGACACCTTATGATAGTTAAAATCCAGAAACTGCCATTTTGAGGCAAAACTGAAGTAAATGACTTTGCATCCGCATAACTCAAAGCTACTGGTTTTGATATTTGATAAATTTGAGGAAATGTGCCTTGTTTTTTTCTTTTCTTATGTTGTTTTGTTGGTAAGTTCTGTGGGTTCTTTGATGATGATTTGAAGTTTTGTGCGTGCAGGCTGCTGTCAAGGAGGAAAGGCGTGAAGCACGCCGTACCAAGAAAGAAATAAAGGAACTTTACAAGGGTGAAGCACAGCATGCTCAGAGAGTAGCTGCTATATCTGGCCCTTCTTCTATTCATCTTATGTGATTGTGTTGATCAAGAAGTTGTATCTCTAGATAATTGGAATTGTATCACTATTATTGCTTCAAATCAGGCTGTTTCTAGAAATATGCTTTATATTAATTAGTTTGTTTAGTGATTTTCTTATAGGTAAGACAGAGTACTAGATTAATAGTCAAGACAGTGGCATCGCTTGAGCCCGCACTTTTCGCATGTAATCTACGACCAACAATGTTGAGTGAGGTGTACGCTCCATCCCGACTGCCTCGAGTTTTAGCAGCGTAGAATATAAGTTGTGATTGAGAAAATTTTGAGTTCGGAAAGGTTGGGTTCTGATGTTTTTTGCCCGTAATGGTAGATAGGAGGACATGCATTGAGTTCTTTACCGTCAAATGTGTAATGTATTTGTTTGTCTGGTTATTTTTGCTCCTTTCCCCCTACAATATAGTTTTATTTTTTTTCCTCTACAGATGATAGGTTGACTTGATTAACAGAAATATCAATAATTTCTTTCAATTCAAAAGGTGAATACAAATGTCATCAATTATGCATTCATGATTTAGTGCGACATAGCAGCATAGGAACAAAAGAATTTTTTTAATTAATCATACTTTGTAACGAATAAACAATCAAGTGTGAAACGACTTTGTTTATTTGTATTCTGGACAAAACTTAATGATAGAAGATACTTTGTAAGTGCAAAGAATATAATTCTCAGTGGGGAATAGGAGCCATGTCGCCTCTACCATAATAAGGTGTTGGATTCCAAATGCCGTAGTCTTGATGAAATATTTCCGACGTCCGTGCCTCATAGTGGTGTTTGTCCGCTCCCTGCTGCTGCACCTGCTCTTTCAGTTGTTGGAAAGCAACAAATGATGATGATGGGGCCGACAGTGACGGTGCCGCGGTTGCTCTTGTGGGCATAATCATCATAACGGACATGATCATCATGCATAACATGTGCTTTGCTGAGCTTCCTGTTCCCGCTACTGTTCCCATGTGATTTTAGGCTAGCTGCAAATCCAACCTCTAAAAACTCTATGCTGCAGTGCAGGTTATGGTTTTTGAATTTCTAACTCTCAAACTCAAAGATGCATTTGGCAACCGTCAGCAACAAATCCTAATATATGTGAAAGTACGGTAGTGTTTGAACAAAATTGGTTCTTTATTTCTCACACCCGATGGATGACTTACCATGCTTCTTGCATGCATGTAGTGCTTTAAACAGAATGGAAAGCCTAACAAGTTGGCCTCCTCTCCTACGTAGATTTCCTTTCTTTACTAAGACCGTATGTGTATGTAATGTATATTGCACAGGATTTTCTCTGGAATTTGTCTTCGAAGTCATCATTGCCCTTTTGCCCGCATATTTAAAATATGTGATGTACCTTTCATTCCGTCATCAATGGCAACAAGACTTTTAAGTGAATTTAAAGAAAAGTTGATTGGTACAAGGTCCGGTCTTCTCAGACCGAATTTTTTCTAAGAGATTTGTCCCCAAGATCACGGCTCGTGGAGTTGACCTCACTTCTTGGTTAAACCTACAGAAACGATGGATAAAGATGAACAAAGTAATGATCAGCATATTTATTGTTGTTTCAATATTTAATAATCAATCCTTTTAGTCCGACAGGTAAAAAGTTTCTGCATTTCCATCAATATTATTAGTTAACAATCATAAACAGGGCAGCAACATGTAAAAAGTTAAAAAAAAAAAAAAAAAAAAAAAAAAGCATCGTTCAACAAAATGCCACCTCCAACAGAAATCAAAGTACAAGAACAAATATCGATCATTACGCAATTAAAGAGCCTCTCAACCCTCTCCTTCTATACAGAGGAGAGGGCAGTGAACCGTACCGAACCATACAACATCCGAGTGTTGGAAAAGAGAAGCAACGTTATACAGATGATAAGGCAGAGAGACTTCAGAAAAACCGGTGGGAACAATGTATTATACAAAGGCATAACGCCCACAGAACACATTCATGATCTATATATTTCACACTGAACAACTACGATTATGAAGAAGGAATTATACAGAACACAAAAAAATAAAGTCTATAGCTATGGGTCACTATGGGATTGCAATGTGAAGCACTTGCACTTGTCTTTCATGGCTTCAGCCTCACTTCCATATTCCCTGAATTTGTACTCTTCCTGCTTATGGGCAGGAGGCACCTTTCCCTCGCTGTAGCATTGACTACACAAACTGAAATGAGATTTTATCTCCTTAAAACGGGACCCAATAATCGGATAGCGGCAGACCGAGCAGACACGGTTGCCGTGGCGGTTCCTGTCCCCAGTTTCAAGCTTCAACAACGTGGACATGATACCAAAACCCCAATCTGTGTCATCAAACATGACAAGAAACTCTGTGAAAGTCATCATGGAAAGATCTTCTCCATGGAGTTCCAGAATCTCACTAACCCCATGGGAAGGAACATATATGGCTCTCAACAGTTTGATATATCTTGTGGCGTCGGCTTTTCTTATCTGAGCACCACCACCTTCGTTCACAGGACGCCACAAGAGAGCATCAAATGCAACTCGTTTGCGCTTATCTGGCGGGCCACTGCAAATAGGAGCTAGAACAGCAAAAAACATGCCCAAGTCCACTCTGCCTGAGCCCGTATCATCAAAGACGGAAAGTATCCTCTCGTTTATGGCTTTAACAGCTCCTTGAAAAGTCTCTGGTTTTAGGAAATCAAGTAACCTGCGGAGAATTTCTTCTAAGTTAGGCTTGCGTATGGATCTCTGAGGAACACCAGTACCAGAATATGAAACAGGTACTTCGCCATCATTCATTTCCTTCTTAAGCAACTCCACATCACAACGACTCAACCTGGTAATCCTCTGAAAGGCCCTAATCTCAAGTGCATTGGCCAACTCTTGCCTCAATGTAGTCCTCTCCCCAACTGTCTTAAATTTTGTAGGTTCCACAACGACAAACGAACCCTCCCCATTGGCACCCCCATTCCCCTTCACCTTCTTCTTCTGCAGCTGCTTCAAATGTGCAATGGCATCATGCAATTCAACCCTGTTGGTCATTTTCAATGCTTCCTTCAAAGCCTTCTTAGCTTCCTCAGTTTCCCGAGCTCCTAACAAGGACACAGCCTTGTTAAGCTGAGCACGCCAATGGTTGGGCCACACAGCTAAAACCCTAGTATACATCTCAGAAGCTCTCGGAAATCTACCCGCGTCCATATAAAGCCCACCCAAATTGTACAAAGCATCTACATGACCAGGTTTCAAATCAATGGCTTTCTGAAATATCACAATTGCCTTATCATCGTCACCCATGGCATGCAAAGCCGAAGCCAAATCACAATGCGCATCCGCATAGTCCGGTTTCATAAAAATGGCCTCCTCCAAGGCCTTGACAGCCGCTCTATATTCCCCAACCCCAAAAAGAGCACTACCCAAAAGTTTCAAAGCTCTAAAATGAGTTGGACAAAGAATTGCAGCTTCTCTATAATACTCGCAAGCACTTAAAACCATACCTTCACCTTCAAGCGCAATCCCGAGATTCACATAAATCTGTGGAAGCAAATAAGCCCACTGGTTCCCACCGGCCTCCGCCGCCTCGAGCGCCAACAAAAACTCATCTTTAGCCTCTTTGTATCTGCCAAGAACATACAAGCAGTTCCCAGCTCTGAAATGTGGCCTCACATCCACTGGTTGCAACTCACAAGCCCTCTTGAAACTCACCAACGCCTCTTTGAACAGCTGGTGCTCATACAGAACCCTCCCAATCGCCATGTGACCATCGAAGGCCTGCTCACGTGACCTTGCTCCGTCGGCTCGGCTCCTTAACACCCCCAATTCTCTAACGAACGCAGCATACTCGTGCCCAGACTCTTCCCAAAATACCCTTTTATCCGAAATCTCCGAAGAAGGTCCCAATTCTCTAGACCACCCGGCATCGGAAAAAGCGTCGATATTGTCGGCTTTCAATTTCCCATCTTTGGCTTGCTTCGCTTTCAACCTCTTTACCAAAATCTCTAAATCGTCGACTATCTTCCACGTGTCGTCGAACACGATCCCGTGGTTGGGTGACACCGCCCAGGCCGCCGTTCTCTGCTTCTTTTGCGACTCAACGAGGCGTTCGTCGACTATCGAGGACGACGAGGCCTCGGATGCCATGGAAGCTTTGGTCTCGTCCAAGGTGAGCTCCAAACCGAGCGCGTCGAAGTCACGGTCCACGTCACCGGCACCGTCGTCGTAGGTCCGCAAGAGGCCCTCATAGGTGAGGCCCTTCTCGCCGTCGATGAAGTCACCGTAGGTCCGGAAGACCTCGTCGAGAATGGCATTGATCTGCTCGTCGCTGAACTTGACCCTAGGGTTTACCGCCACAACAAGCGCGGCCATTTCATCTCTGTTGAGACCTCCGTCATGGTTTTCATCGAATTGGTGGAAAATCCTCTTGACCTTCTCTGATCTGCTCCCTCTCGTTGTCATTATACCCTTGTCCCAAATTTTAATTTCAGCTTTTAATTTTGTAGGGTTTGAAAGATGAAGAAGAAGAAGAAGAAGATGATGAAGTGATACAGGTGTAAATTAATGTAAAGGTAATTGGTATAAATGGAAAGTGAGTGAGGGACCAAAAAGAGAAGGTAGAAGGGAGGGGGCTTAGCTAAAAAAATTAATTAATCTAGGGTTGAATCCTTAATGAGACTATAAATGATGTTATGTGATTGACAAGATGAGGGGGCTTCTTCTTGTTCTCATTTCATTTTCACTTTCATTTGGGTTGGGTGGTGGTACCAACTGTTTTCCTGTTGGTTTTCATTGGATCTGAGCCATCTGGCTGGATAACCCAAAAGTGAAACCAGGAAAAAGAGAAGAGAGAGAGAGAGAGAGACGAGACGACCATTGTTTTCTCCCTTTCTCTCTCTTGTTTTTTTTTTTTTTTTAAATATTTATTTTTATTAACTGGTTCTCACTCCTTGCTTGCTTCTCATGAATGAATGATGAATGATGAATGATGATGATGGCTGGTGGTGGGCCACGTGGCCCTAGTGGGGCTATTTTTACAATTTCATTTTTTGTTAAAAGTATATATATTTGTATTTTGTTGGCACTTGGGCTTAGGTAACGCCAGCTTTACATAAAGAAGAAAGATTGTTGTCCAGCTGGCTCGGCGATTGATCAGTGTGCCCTGGCCATTTGTATACTTAGCCGATACTGTTGGTGACATTCTATTTTTGAGTTTGCTTCGTGTCACTTTGTACACGTGTTGAATATTATTCAAGTTCTAGATTGCCATCTTTTTAGTTATACGATGGTACTAACTCAATCCATGG